ATTTAATCGGATTAGATTAGCATAAGACCCTAATCACCCCCCCTCTAGGGTCTAACAGTAAGGTGTAAACATTTTTGGGTGAGTGTTGAAAACCCAGTGTGATAGTGGATTTCTCCCAGGAGTGGGGAGCGGAGACGTAGGACGAAAGGTCCGAACTCCATGATCATTTGATTGTGTTTGAGTTTGTCATTAGCGCATTTACTTTTGTGTTTATCTTATATCATCATTGTCTATTACTCTTTGTGTATATTGCCCTATCACATTTTTAGTTTGTTTATTTTACCTTTTGTTTATATTTCTTATCCTTGCTAATAATTTATTGCATATCTTATTTACTAGGATAACTTGTTAATAAGTTTTACTTGGTATTAAATCAGATTAGATTAGCATAAGACCCTATTCAACCCCCCCCCCTCTCGGGTTCTTTCCTAGTGGCATTAGGGTCTTATATCATATTCTCATCCACTCATTCCAATTCCCAACCACTCCCCCCATGTGAATCTGGGTCTCGATTTCAATAAGTGGAAGAAAATATGTCACCTTACTACCAAGCACACAAGCACACTTATGTTTGGTACTAAGCATACCCGTATATATATATATATATATAATATTATATATATATATATTATATATATATGGCCATTCTTTGACTTGAAGCCGTGTCTGGGACGGGTTACGGAACCCCAATTATACATAAAATATTTCTTCTCTAATACAAATAACACCTAAAATAATAATAATGTTTTGTGTGCCTTGTGTAGACCTTATTTGATATCCTACAATTAGCAATTTCCTTTATCATCTTTAATTGAGTTTTCATCTTTTCGTTTATAACTGCCCACATACACTTACATGCGTAATTTCTTTATTTTACGCATGCTTTTGGTTTCTAAACTCCCCCAGTGGTTTGCGCGCCCTGACTCGGGGACCGTTCTTCTCGTAGGACCCAAGAGATATCGAGGAGTGGTCTCACAGCGCATGATCATCGTTTATTCTATTAGTTCTCCAGTTCAGTTGCTTTAGATAGTTTGTTTAGACTTTTTTTGAGTCCTGTGACATTATCTAGACCTATGATAAATTTTTTTTAGCTCCTTCCATTGGGATAGTTGTGAAACTCGTATTTGGACTTTGCCCTTTTAGAGATTTTTTTATTTATACATTTTTTATTATCTTAGTTACATGTTATGTGGCATAGTTTTGGCTTTATATTGATATACAGGATGATCTAGAGATGTGAATGTACCTAAATGGTTGTATTGTCAGTCGAGTCACGTTCCAAGTTATTACACTTTGGTACTAGAGAATGACGGTTTGGCAGCATGCTACCATATAAACAACACAAATACAAATCATTTTTTTATTTATAAGGGTTTTTTCGATAAATACCCTCAAATTGTATGTATTTTTAAATTTACCCTCTGAATTTATAAATTTAAATTTGAACTCCAAATTGTTTAGTTTCTTCAATTTTACCCTCCTGTTGAAATTTTAAAAGATTTTATGTTAAACTATCTTTCTTTTTAAAAAAAAATTGTTTTGCAGTTTCTGATCTGAATTTTAGTGCATACTTTTGGTTGGGAGTATGTTCTATTTTTTGTAACAACCATTTTTGTTAATTTAGCTGGCTGGAATATCTTGATGATATTCCATTCTTTTTCTCAAAAAAAAACTAAACAATTTGGAGAGTAAATTTAAAAATGTAAAGATTTGGAGGGAAAACTTAAAAACACGTATAATTTGAAGGGCATGTATGATAAAAAAATAACTCTATTTATAAACTTAGCCCTATAATCCAATTGCTTGTCATTTTGATTCCAGATCTCTTAATCTAGATTTTCTGTTAGAAACTTTTCTCCATATATCAAAAAGGAATCTCCATGTATTTCCAGATTTGTGGCTTCTCAATATGATATTATGTGTTTGAATATATTATCTTATTATAGACGATAAATATTAAATTGGTCTTAATTCTTATTGGATTATAGCTATAATAATCTCTCATAATTGTTTTTGGGAGTAGGATTTTTGTTAGTTTTAAAAAGATAATCCATATATGTGTGAATTTAACAAATTTTTAAAATTTTAATCTATAGCCGTGCTTTGACTGAAATCATTGACTACTATTTTTTATATTCTAAAAATAATTGAACACTTACCCAAATTAATAAGAGGCTCTTTTAAAATAATAGTATGGATATTTCTTATTGTAAACTAATCAATCGATTTTCATACCCAAACTCCAAATTCTATTCCAAATATAAATTTTTATCTATTAGACTGTGATCTATATTTTAAAGAGAAAATGTAAGGGCAATCACTACGAGCTATTGCCCATCCTCACTCACTTTGAACCTAGAATTCCTTATAGATTACCAGCAGATAAGGAAAAGATTGCCTACAAGAAAAACTTATATTTTCTAATGTTTTTAAATGTGCACTTAAATACTCTTAGTTATACAAACATAGGAATTTACACAAAAAATCCTCATAAGACGCTCACATACTAATTTTAGAACTTTTTAACCCTTAATTTTTGCTAAATGTAATGTTAAAATTATTGTAATTTTATTTTAGACTCACTCTAATTCTATTTTAAAATATAGTTGATACATTTAATAGTAAATTTAAATAATATTAAGAGTTAAAAATGTTCCAACATTGGCAAGTGGACATACATGAGAATTTTCGGAGAGAAAATTTTTCTTTTAGAACTTAGTGTACTTAAGTGCAAAAACATATTAAAATTAATTGAGGGCATATAAGTGTAAAGGAGGGAAAACTATATGATATAATGCAATTAAGCCTTCATTTATTCTGATTTAATTTGTCATTGTTAAAGAATGACAAAGGGTGAATTTCATACAATCCCTCAAAGTAACACCGTAAACTTGTAAAAAGTCACATGTCAAGCTTGTGACAACGAAGAATGAAAATACTCCTAAGTTTATTAAACCTAAACGTTTATTTATTTTTCATTTTAGTTATTTTTAATCTTTAGATAATACCGACATGCATGGTGTAATGTTGTAAAAACTTCAATATTCAGGGGGATTAAGTGGGACACCCCAAAATTTGAGGGGTTGAGTGAAATTTATCCAAAGATAATTTCCCTGCAAGCTTTTAAATGACAGGAACAACAAGGTAGAGATACACATCTTTCTCTATGATGATAATAGATACATATTTGAATCGGGAAAAGGGGACACAGCAAGTTGAGATGGGCAGTCGCTTAGACCTCCCATATTTTAAATTTATTATCCTAATCTAAATAGCACATATTATCTACCAAATAAACAGATATATGAAATTCAAATTAACAGATAAGGTCGACTTCTTCTATTCCGACTGAAATTCAAATTAATAAATAAGGTGGACTTCTATTTCGACTATAATTAGTACGAGAGCAACAGATCTTCAAACTATATATATATATAGGAATTATCCTATATATAGACCAACAATCTTCATCTCCCAACTCCGAAAAATCCAAAAGCCCAGGAAAAAGAAAAAACAAAGGGCGGGACAAAGAAGCCATGATAAAAGAACTCAACCTGCAGCATGTCAGAGATAAGGAAGCCATGATTCTTCAAGAAGTGTGGCGCCACAATCTGCACGAAGAACTCAACCTCATATCAGAGCTCCGCAGGTCGTGCAACTTCGTCTTCGTCGACACGGAGTTCCCGGGCTTCCTTAAGCCGGCTCCTCACCGTGCCCCGAGAGAAGACACATACAGCGCTCTCAAGTACAACGTCGACAGGATGAAGTTGGTGCAGGTAGGGATCACGCTGTCCGACAGCAAGCGCTTTTTCACCTGGCAATTCAACTTGAAAGATTTCGATCCTGAAGTAGACAACTGTTCGAAGGACTCCATCGAGTTCCTGAAAAGGAACGGCATTGATTTCTGTAAGAACGGCAAGGATGGGGTGAGTGCGGCCGTTCTCTCGAAAGGGCTGACGGAGAAACTAATAAGAGGATGCGAAGGGCTGAGGTGGGTCACTTTCCACGGTTTATACGACCTCGCGTACCTGATAAAGATCGTCTACAAGATGCCTCTGCCGGAGACGCTGAACGGTTTCTTGGGCCTTGTGCGGGAACTATTTGGGGCGATGGTTTATGATGTGAAATACATGGCGAAAGAATGTGATGCGCGTTTCGCCGAAGCAGGCTTGTTGAAGCTGTCGAGGATGCTTGAGATCAACTGGAAAGGGACCTCTCGTCAGGCCGGTCGTGATAGTCTGCTGACGGCGATGGTTTTCTGGGAGATGAAGAAAAGGTTTGCCGATTTCAACGAAGAAGCGCATGCTGGGGCATTATACGAGTTGGAAGAGCATGCGAGAGACGAGTCCGTGAATGTTGCGACGACGTCGTATGATCGTGTGGCTCCTGTCAGGGTTTCTAGGGGTCCAAGTTCTGTGCCGTTTGGCTATGCTATGCTTCCGAGTCCAAGTTCTATGCCCCCGCATGGTTATCCTCCAGTAGCCGTAGGCTATTGCCCTCCACCTTATGGTTACTGGCTAGCTCCAGGGCCTTTTTTTTATGCTCCGCCGCAATGAAAGTTGTTGGATGTACTTGGTTGGATTTTTCTAGCATAAAGTTTGCAATCCAAGCCAATTTTGAGTTTCTCAAGTTTTCTTGTTTCGTTAGTAATCAGTTGGGTTGTTTGTTTGCACTTGTCAATAAGTTCATTTTACAGGCAGCAGAGATGTTCGATCGGTTTTGGGTTTCTTTTGATTCTGTACGTGGTCACACTTGCTATGAGATATCTAAACTACTAGCCAAAAGATATTAGCTAAGCGTTGGAGAATATTTCAATGTCTTGCCATTCTGTATTTACCTGTTAAGTTCGAGAGCCTTTTCATTATGTTCGATCTACTGTAATAATCTATCTATATGATCATTTTTTTTCTTTCAGTGTATGCAAGCATTTTGATGTTATTTGGGGAAGAGTGAATTTGTGCTGCGAATGCTATAGTAATATAAGCTTTGTTTTCCATTCATCTGTTGCCTTTTTATTCGTATTGTCTTCTGATCGACCTTGCCCTGTTTATCCATGGTTTAGCTAAAAGAAATTACTCATTATCACAAACAAGAAACCAACTTAACTAGGGTACTGGTATTTATATCGTATTTTTTAGTTTAGCTAAAAGAAATTACTCATTATACCAAACAAGAAACCAACTTAACTAGGGTACTGGTATTTATAAAAATCTAAAATAATTTTAGAATTTTTAGGTTGTTTATAAATTTTAGAACTTTAAGGGCTTTTTTGTAATTTTCATTTTGTTATTCGTATTGTCTTCTGATCGACCTTGCCCTGTTTATCCATGGTTTAGCTAAAAGAAATTACTCATTATCACAAACAAGAAACCAACTTAACTAGGGTACTGGTATTTATATCGTATTTTTTACGGTATCCATAACAGAGGTCTCATAGTAATATAACGCTTCTCAGATTTGGATCCTCTTCACTACCACAAAGTAGTGGACGAATACATTGATCTCAATTGTCCATTATTTTATAGATATTTGTGATTATTTCTTTTCAATACAAAATAGGAATGGATAAGATTTCTGGGATATGATAAGCGTTAAAAGTAGAATGAATCATAATCATTGATTAACAAGCATCATGCATGTGCTCGCATGGGAGGATGTTGTTACTTTGATTTATATAATTGATTTCTCTGTTTTCTGAGTTTTCTATATGCCCATCATGCTTCTAAAAATTGAACTGTACTAAAATATTTTTACTTTTATTACTTAACATTCAATAAATTTTGCAAAATACCTCCAATAATGTTTGTTTATAATTTTCAATTCTATAGGAAGCTATTTATAATATTCAATCTTTTGGATGGTTTGTTGTAATTTTGGAATTTTAGGATATGCTTGCAAATTTTAGATTTTTCAGAGGGCTTTTTGCAGTTTTAGAATTTTTAGGTTGTTTATAAATTTTAGAACTTTAAGGGCTTTTTTGTAATTTTCATTTTTTTCAAGAATTTATTTGCAATTTATAAATTTGCAGGGAGTTGTCTACAATTTTTAATTTCAAAGGGCGCTATTTGTGAATTTTAGATTCCTTACGGGCTTGTTTGTAATTATTAAGTTTTTTGTGGGAGTCATTTGTAATTTCATATTCATATAGGTTTGTTTATAATTTTTATATTTTTAAAAAAAATATTTATAATTTTATGGGTTAATCTACATATAAGAATGTGTTGAGAAGCACACATATATTGGCTTGAAGGATAATGTTCATCGGTGTACAATTATGGGGTGACATCATTATGTGGGTTAACTGCAAAACATCAAAATATGTTGGAGGTTTTCTAAAATTTTCAAATTTAGCTGGGGTTTCAAAAAAAATTGGGGCTTAGTATCAAGCGATTGAACTTATTGGAGGTTTAGTGAAATTTAAGATTTAGAAAAATTAAGAAAGACCACATGACAATCTTTTGATTTTAAGGCTAATGGTAAACCACCAATCTCTCTTTACATTGTTATTCCCATTTAGTGAATTTCTAAACTCTTGGACCACATTTGGCAAAGGGTTAAGTGAGGAGTTAAAGGGAGCTAATCCCTCCTTAGCCTACCAAACACCATTTTGGTGATAAGAGGTTAACAAACCCCTGATAAGTGGTTGATAAGCCTTTAACCCGTCAAAATCCATCATTTTGATGGGTTTACTATTCCGCTTGTTGAGGCGGAGTGAGGGGTTGTTTGGTTACTTTCCTTCACTTTTCAAAACTCACTTTCTTTTACATTTTGGTGTTTCACTCACTTTCTTGGAAGAGTGTTTTTTTGTATTTGTTTTGTAAAGAAACATGGGGAATAATTATTTTCTATCACTTTCTTTAGTTTGGTTCAAATTTAAAAAACAAGAAAGTAGTTTATGCATTACTTGATTCCCTCATTTTCTAGTGTTTGGTTCAAACCAAAAAATAGAAGAAACGATGGTGTGGTCACAATGATGTGCTATTGTGCTTACCACTCAAAATAGGACGAAATATTTGTCAAACATAAGTGGGGTGAGAATACCCACCATTTGAGACAACCTAAAAAAGAACGAGCAATATTTGCTATACAAAATTCAAGAGCAAAACAAATACGTTAGCAATTCCTTATCACAATCCTAAATACATCTTCTTAGAATGAGACAGCCTAAAATGAACAAGTAGATAAAGTTCAACTTATCCCAAACAATAAGCATCTTACAGTATTGAGCAGAAAATGTATATTTCATTGACCAACCTCAACTATATCTCGAGCAAATGCAGTGAAGCTGTGGCCAAGTGCTTTTGAAGCATACTCTCCTCTTGGAAGTCTATCACATTGTTTGCTAATTTCACTCTCAATGGCAACGATGTCAACACATAGAAAATAGTAATAAATGAAAAAGGCATCACTTAAGGGCGAAAAAGAATAATCTCATGCCGATACCTTTTTTGCTTTTGGTCCTGTCTCATTGTTCTCATAACCCTCTGTCTGAACTAAGGCGACCAGAGTCACATCATAAAATATCAAATTGAAATTCCATATCACAAATCCCATCCTGATAGATACATGAGTTCTCAAAGCATTCAATATAATCACAAACACACAAATCAGTAGAAATTTCAAATAAATACATGAGCGAAACAAAATAAACAAAATCAAAAAGTTATAGTATCAAAAAAGTACATATCATCACAATCATAGGAGTCAGGTGTTCTAATGTCATCTCATCATCATCAACTCTAATATCTAAGCCAAGAACGATAGTTTACTAGCCAAACCTACATAATCTCTTCTACGATATATGAAACAACAAATATAGCTCTAAATTGTAATCAATCCACAAGATTTTTCCCACCGCTCAATGACAAGTAAGAGAGAGCACATAACCTAGAAATCATCTCAGTCTCCTTTGTCACGCTCCAGTCATCCATGAAGATCATCGTCGTCCTTCAGGAAGTTGAGTCATGAGTTCATTGTCTGGTTTTGTGTGTGTGTGTGTGTGTGCGCGCGCGCATGTGTGTTTGAGATGTACCACTCACATTTTGTGAAGGATCAGCCTCACCATTATTCCTACAAGATCCTTGTCATCTCAGTTAACTTTGTTGAACCATCACCTCTCGACCATCATGAAAATCCTTGTGAGTTCGATTCATAGCTTTACAAATTCTCCACAATATCATTTAAAAAAGTTTGAGATATTTTTCACATTATATACAAGAAAATTACTACCTTTTGTAATTAAAACAAACTCCCATAGGCTCATCTAAATCAACAATAAAATGTAGTGTATAAACTGAAATTCATGGGTTAGGAATTAATTTTTTTTAACAACAATAAAATTCATCAATTGAAATCCCAAGACCAACCCCCTAAAATGACCAATTTATCAAAGATCTAGTAACCTAAAAAAAAGTTAAATAAATTACCTTTAAATAACAGTCGAACCCTTAATTGGAAGATAAAGTTGTGTCATCGCTAGGCTTTGCACCGTGGGAGGGAAGGGGAGGTCACTACACCAGCCTTTGCACAGCGGGAAGAAGGCGGAGGAGGAAAACAAGAAGGGAGGAAGGCGGAGGAGATGACCAGATTTAGTTGCTGCCGAAAAAAGATAATTTCGACGAGAACCTTAGCGGCTTTGGGAGTACGGAGAGAGAAATTTGATCTTTTCTCCCATAATCGACCTCACAGCCCAAGAAAATTTTGTGGGAAAAAATCGTATGTGGCACCTTCACTTTCCTTCACTTTCTTTTTTATTTTTTTGCAAACCAAACACATAAATGTGAAGGAAAATGTAGAAAATAGCCACTTTAAGTTTTCTAGGGGCCTTTTTCTGTGTTTTTTGGACCAACCAATAGCCCCTATGGGGTGTTTGGTTCACTAGTTTTATATAAAAAAAACTTTATAGAAAAGGACTGACAATGGCAGCTATGTAAATAAAACTTTTCTAAAGATTTCTATAAACTGTGTTTAGTTCAAAAAAGTTTTATAGAAATTTTTTTTATAATGTAGGAAAAAGTACCTCATTTTATAGAAATTAATTTTTACTCAAAATGCACGGAAATCACCTAGAAATCTGACAACACAAATATAAAAATAATAAAACTTCACTTGTACCCTATTTCCCACCCCAAACTTGTTTTCTCGCAGAAGATTGCGGGCGGAAATATTTATAGGGTTTGGCCGCTCGACCTAATACCCTCCGATGGGTCGGGTCACAATGAAGGCGAAGACGAGCAGGATGAGGAGGTCGGTGATGAGGGCAACCATGACAAAGAGGTAGGTAGCAAGGATTGTAGGCTGTCTAAAAATCACAATAGATAGTTGATCCACCATCAAACACCGATGATGGAAGTTACAATCTGACGACTTCCAGAAGGCTACAATTTGAGGACTTTCACGTAGAAGGTTACAATCTGACGACCTTCACAACAACTAATGAAAGCCCCAATTCAATAGCCTTCACAATCAACATCGGGAGTTACAATCTGACGACTCTCATATTTTCAAGGAGCCAAGACGAAGATTACAAGAGGACGATCTGTGTAAAGCTCTAGCAAAAGAGACTACAAATTGACGGTCTCTTCATATTAAAATGCATATATCTCTCAAACCGTAAGGAATTTGGCGAAATGGAGGAAGCGAACCAAAGCCTTCGGCTAGGTTCGGATGGCCCCGTCTCGTCGAGATAGCCGATTTTTATATATAATTCGTCCAATTCCGACTTACGGTTTGAAAGTTATGACCTGTTCTTCGTAGCAAATTATGTTCTGAGGTCCGTCTGCAAGACTGGACTTCATCAGAACATTGGACTTAGCCTGCGCCTAAGGTTCGCCTCTGCATTATAGAGTCAAAACGCACAGGTCGAACCAGCGTTATAACCTCAAAACGCAGAGGTTATCCTTGTGA